TTATTGCTGACACTTCAGGATTCAAAGGTCCACTCTGTCCCACAGGTGTGCGTGTGTGTGCACATCCATGCACATGTGTATCTGTGTTTGCATGTGGTTGCATGCATGTGCATGTGTGTGTGTGTGTACACATGGGAATCGTGTGTGTGCATGTGTATGCCCCCCCCTGCCATCCCCACCCCCGTCTCTGCACCCACACCTCATCCCCCCAGGTGCCCGTGCCCACCCCCTCCCAGCCTCTGCTCGCACCGGCCTGGGTGGGCACTCGGTAAACGCGGACCCGGGCTGAGGGGACCAGGGGAAGGCACCAGCAGCACGGAGTTCTAAGCTCATCATGCGAAGATGGGCCTGTTTATCTGCATGGCACGCATTTGTCTCTGACTGTTTTATCCACCCCCGGAGTCAACTGAAGAGTTATCAATTTATCCTGCCCTCACGGAGAGACCAGATTGGAGGCACGCGCGCTCATTCACGGAAGCCTGATATAGACTTCCAATTATCTTTTAATTTCGCTCCTGTCTTCATTTGTTCATTTCACTTTTTCCAAACAGACTGAAAAAAAAAAAAGCTGTAATTTATAGAGTCTGAAGTCAGCCTGTGACAGCGCAGCGTTCACCTGCTGGAGGGAGAGACCTCAGGGTGGTGGCGAAAGCTCCCTTCCAATAGCCTTGCAGGGGAGAAGGGCACCTGCTGGGGAGCCCCCTCCCCAGCCCCTGCAGCCCCGCTGCGGCCCCTGCTGCCTGCCTTCTGACTCTCTGCGACATGTCACCATGCAGCTCCATCCGACATAGTCTCTGTATCCTCGAGGCTCCGGCATCCAGGCCCGCTCACCCTAACCGGGAAGGGACGGCCCCTCCCAGGGCTCGCTGGTTCGTAGGCAGCAAATGATGGCCCTACGAGCACACTGTTCAGGTGCAGGTGAGTCAGTCCAAAGCCAGCACCCCAACCACCCTCACCTTCATCAGGGTCTCACGAGACCCTTTCACCGAGGGCCAATATTCCCCGCCCCAGTCGCCCCAGGACCAGGCATCGACAACCAGAGGCAGCCCCAAGGCCCCTGAAGATATTTGAGTCCCCCGATCCTAAACCCCTTACTTAACCCCGCCTCCCTGGTTCCTTCCCAGGGAAACCACGAGAAACACTGTTACCCTTTCCCCTCAGCCGCTCTGCCTCCCCGCTGACCCCGGTGCCTGCCCGAGGCTGGCTCTGGGTGATGCGGCTTCTGGAGAGAAGGGAACGCCTCCTGGGAACCAGGAGTAACAAACCGTCTTTTCCACAGCAGCCGTCTCCCGACCCGAGTGGTAATAAAGCCTGCATTCCCGAGCAAGCCCAGGCGGCCGTGCTCCCGGAGAACTGCACCGCGGAGGGCGGACGGCGGGAACCCTCATCTAACGCGGGTCTCCTCCGAGCTCGGTGTTTCACGGGTGTCACTTCTGCCCTCGAACCAGGGGAGGTCCAGGAAGCACCCAGCCGGGTTCAAAGCGGCGCCCTCTGACACGCCGCCCCCCACGTGCACGGCCGGCAGCCTGCTCCGAGACCCGGCCTGGAGGTCCTCACGCATTGCAGAGGCTCTTGGGCCCCTCAGTTTCCCCGAGACCTTGTTGTTGCCCCCTCTTGGCCTTCCCCGTTCCTGCTGCGCCAAATGCCCTCTCTGCCTCCTGTCCTTGCCTGGGGCCGGGCTCCCCCTCCTTTCACGCTGCCCTGCCACTGATGAGTGGTGAGCGCGTCTCACGCCACCATCCCCTCACTCAGCACCTTCTTCCCCCGGAGTCCCAGTCTCCAAGGGTGCAGGGGCCACACGCGTCTCCTTACCTACGTCACTGCATCCCAGGACTCAGCCTGGTTCAGGATAAGCATCTGATAAACATTGGTTCAGTCAATCAGTCCACGTCCCCGCTTCCTTTATCAGTCGCCAGTGCCCAACGCCTCTGTCTGGGACCCTTCCCTGACCTCTGACCTGATGCCCCTCCCCCTGGGCCCCCGGCCGTCCAGGAGCCGGGTTGCACTTGGTCAGCAGACGCCCGTGGACAGATCGCCTCATTAACTTTTCCTTTGTGAAACACTGTGGACCGATCATAGATCATATCGGGGTTGTCGGCTGTCTTCCGGGCAGGACATCAGTCCCCTGGGGCTGAGACTGTTGCCTTTGGTCCTCTGCCCTCCCCATCCTCCCCCTGCTGCCCCAGGGGCTCGGTCTGGCCACACCCCCGGTGCCCAGGAGCAAGTTCCGAATGGAGGCGGGGAGTGTCTGGCTCAACTGGTTTACACTGGAGCCGCAGGGAGAACGCTCCAGGGCACAGTGGAGCCTCACTGGTTAGAAAACTGAGCACCAAAGGGGCCCCCGGCCCTGCTCACGGGGTGGCATCTGAGGGGACAGCACCAGGTCACAACACAGTAATGCAGCAGGCCTTTCCCTCCCCAAGGGTGTGAGAGTCCCAAAGCTGTCCCTGCCACTGGGATGGTCGCCTGGCCGCTGGGGGCCCCACATCAGCCCCCCAAGCCCTGCTGCCACCCCGGGGACACATCGTTTTTATTTCCCTTCCTGCCTCGTCCTCTGCTTCCCAGAGGAAGACGTGCGGGCCGCGCAGCCACTGGCGCCCGGTTATTAGTGGAGACCCTGTCCCTCGAAACCACAAGGGAAGGGTGACAGTGGCCCATCCCTCTGAGCCTCAGGCTCCTCTGGTGATCACCGGGAAATGAGATGACTTTGTTATGCAAAGTGTCCTGGCCTCCCTGCCCTCACCCTGTGGCTCACCTCCGAGATCCAGGGAGCAAACTGCTCACCCCACCCAGGTGCAGAGGAATCAGCAGATCCCTAGAAAAGCGGAAAAGCTGACCTACTGCATATTCCTAGACCCTCTGAAATCCCCTGAGCGCATGGTTAGAAAACGGGGATTCCCTGGCAGCCACCCAAACCCCCTGCATCCGTGTGGGGCGGGGAGGGGAAACCTGCCTTTCTAACAAACACCTCCAGGGTCTCTGTCCCTGAGGAACTCAGGGTCACTGTCTTGACTGTGATGGGGAGCCGGGAAACCCTGCCGCCAGTCACCGGTGGTGGGACAGGCCGGGGAGACCTGACTTCCGGAGAAATGCCACCTGTTCCGGTCTGTTTGCAAGCAAACAGACATAACCTTGGAGCGGCCATAGAATGGGGGTGACAATTGTATCTTTCCCCAAAAATCACTGAGCGTTAGAGGAGAGTCATCCAGCGTGCCCACCCCCACTGTACCCACGGAAAGACACGGTGCATGTTGGCTGTTGTCCTGGTTGTTCCTGCTCCCATCCAGACCCCGGGGGACTCAGCCTCCAGCAGGAGGAGAACAGAGTGCACCTTGACCCGTGGCCCGTGGCAGAGGCTGAAAGAGGAGCAAAGAAGAACAAGAGACCCAGAGAAGGAGAAGATAATCCTGGGAGGGTGCAGGTGCCGGGGAGGAGGCGTGGGAAGGCCCAGCCTCTGAGCGGACTCTGCGGGGCTGGAGGGATGCGGGCCGGGAAGACAAGGCGAGTCGACCGGAGCCCCAGCCCGCAGCCGGGCACACGAGGCAGCCCGCAGGAGATGAACGGGAAGAGTAAACTGAGGCTGGACCAGCGGCGGGGGCTGTGAACGCAGGCGCTCGTCAGGATTTCCTCCTGGCCAAGGCTCAGAGCCAGATGCCTCCCCGGCCTGTGTTTCCTTCGGCTCACAGAGTCAGTTTGAATCTCATGTTTTAATGAGACGCCATTGATTAGAAATCAGGAAGGATCGCATCACTACTGAGAGTAAGTATCTCTGGGACAGTGGGTTCTGGTTATGGGGGAGCCGGCCCACCGGGCACCATCACACGGTGGGTCCTCAATTTCCCTGCCCCGTCCCTGTAGGGGGCACAGGTTTGACCTCCAGACCCTGGCCTTTGGGGACCCTGAGAGCACAATTAGATCTGTGCTTCAGGAGGTCCAGCTGACGATGATTAATAGAGAGGCTGATGTCACCAGAGACAGTCACTGAGCTCGCACGAGGTAGAGCTCAGCCCTGCAAGCGTCACACACATTAACCCCGTTCGTTCTCACCATGACCTCAGGAGGCTTGTGTGCGGCTACCCCCCGTTTTTCAGAGGAGGACACTGAGGCACAGAGAGGTGAGGTCACTTGCCTAATGCCACACAGCTGGTAAGTGGCAGAGCCCGGTGGTCTGGCTCTGGCACCCGCAGCCCTAGGGGATGGTTTGACCGAGTCTCCCCCGGCCTCTCGTCCAATGAGGGTGTCTGGTCTGGAGGGCAAGAAGATGCCCCACGTCTGCCCCGGCTCTGGGTGTGGTGCCAAGTGTTTTCCCCAGGCTCTCTCAGAATGTCCAGTTCTCTCCGTCAGGAGGGCAGCTGCGCTGAAAGAGCCGGGTCAGGTGGCTTGGCCGAGGTCCTGGCTCGGCCTCCCCTGCTGCTAACTGCAGGCCCCAGCCCCCACAGTGGGGGCCAAGCAGACCCCCCAGCAGAAAGGAAACAGACCCAGGCGGGCCTCCTGCCGCACCTGCGGTGGCACCACCTGTCCCACATTCGCCACGCCCAACCCGCCTGGCTCCGTCAATTTGCAAAAGAGAAAATAAAGCACACACACACACACACACAAATAATAACCAACCCCGCGCGTTTCCTAGCATCGGGTGACTGTTTGGTCAAGAGCTTCCTCCCTCTACATGGGCCAGCTGGACACTCCGAACATCCTCCAGCCACTGCGGCCTCAGGTGGCTGGGCACAAGTTCAGCCACCCAGGCTGACCGCCCCCCGCCCCCCCCACCAGGGAAAGCACTGAAGGATCCTAGGAGGCCAGCGTGGAGATCTGCCAGCTGGGGCTCCGGGGGCCGCCCTCTGCCAGCTCAAAGTCACCTTTGCTTCAACTCCTCCGCGGGCCAGCCAGAGGCGGCCCGGAACCTCCTCCTCTCAGCTCAGCAGGAACAAGGAACCGGCTCCCATTGGGTAATTATTAATCAGATTCTTGAGATTCCTCAGCCCCAGGTTGGCTTGGGAAACATGCTCCCTGGAGGAGGAGGAGGAGCCGAGGCCCAGGACTGGCATTTGGACATGCAGCTGACCGGCAAGGTGGTGCTGTCCGCCGCCGCCCTGCTCCTGCTGACTGCAGCCTACAGGCTGTACAAGTCGAGGCCTGCCCGGGCCCCGCTGTGGGACAGGAACACCAAGGCCAAGGCTGAGGAGGAGGCAGAAGGCTCCAGACAGCCTGAAGTCCAGGAGGCTGCTGCTGGGGCGCCCCGCCGGGGGCTGAGGCGCCGGAAGGGGAGCAAGGAGCCGGGAGCACCATTGTCGGGCTACAGCCGGGACAGTCGGAGGGGCTCCCAAGTCCTGGCAACAGCAGCCTCTTCCAGTGACTCGGAAGCCGAAGGGGCTTGGGAGCCAGGGAGGAAAGGCGCTGGTGAGGATCTGAGCAGGCGGTGCCTGGAGTCTGGCCTGGCACCTCCCCGCTGCAGTGGCCAGGGAGCCGGAACGGCTGCCGGCAGTGAGTCCGAGCTGCCCCGCCGCCCCCAGCAGGGCAGTGAACCCAGAAGCTCCCCGTCTGGCCTGGCTGCAGTGGACGGCAGCGGTGTGGAGGGTGAGCCTGCCCCATGGTGGGAAGGTAGACATCCCAAGCAGCCGGGGGCTGGGGCACAGGGGTCCCCACACCAGCCCTGGACGGCCCACTCAGAAGACGAGAATGACATGAATAAGAGCTGGGTCTTCACTCGTGGGACAGGAGCGAGTGGGGAAGAGGCCGGGGCCCTGCAGGCTGCCTCGGACGTGGGCCTGGCTCTGCAGCAGCAGGAGGGGGCCACCAACTCCTCCTACACCTTCTCGTCGGTGGCCCGGGTTCGAGTCGAGGAGAACTTCATAAGGGAGAAGGCGGCAGGGACGGGGCCCAGGCTGCAGGGCAAGGTGTACGAGTACTACGTGCAATCTACCTCTCAGGCCACCTCCAGAGGCGGGCTGGCCCCTGGGACAGCAGCCCTGGCTGAGGCTCCACCTGCTGTGCCAGGCCCCCTGGGAACAGGGGCCATCCCCAGAGGCCACCAGGATGACAGAGAAGGTGGAGCCAATCCAGGCGCCTCCTCCCAGCCTGTGCTGTCGCCCCCTGTGCAAGGCTTCAGCAGGAAGGAGAGCCTCCTTCAGATCGTGGAGAACCCGGAGCTTCAACTGCAGCTCAACGGCTTTGGGAGCCCTGCTCCATCCTTCCCCGACCGGAGTGCCCCGCCCAGTGGCCCCGCAGCAGCCGGGCGGTCTCCGGAGTCCAGCTCAGCCGGAAGCAGCAGCGGGGAGCCCAACCTACAGCTGGTGGCAGGGACCAATTTCTTCCACTTCCCTCTCACCCCAGGTTCAGCCCCAGAGGTCCACCTGGATCTGGGGAATTGCTACGAGGTGCTGACCTTGGCCAAGCGGCAGAAGCTGGAGGCTTTGAAGGAGGCTGCCTACAAAGTGATGAGTGACAACTACCTCCAGGTCCTGCGCAGCCCAGACATCTATGGGCGCCTGAGCGGGGCGGAGAGGGAGCTGGTCCTTCGGCGACGGCTGCAGGGCCGCAAGCGCCTGGTGGTGGCCGACGTGTGCCCCCAGGAAGACTCTGGCCGCCTCTGTTGCTATGACGATGAGCAGGATGTCTGGCACCCCCTGACCCATCTGCCCCCAGAGGCTGTGTCCCGAGGCTGTGCCATCTGCAGCCTCTTCAACTACGTCTTCGTGGTGTCTGGTTGCCAGGGGGCCGGGGGCCGGCCCTCCAACCGAGTCTTCTGCTACAACCCTCTGACCGAGATCTGGAGCGAGGTGTGCCCGCTGAACCAGGCCCGGCCACACTGCCAGCTGGTGGCCCTGGACGGGCACCTGTACGCCATCGGGGGCGAGTGTCTGAACACGGTCGAGCGCTACGACCCGCGCCTGGACCGCTGGACCTTTGCCCCGCCACTCCCCAACGACACCTTCGCCCTGGCGCACACGGCCACGGCGTGTGCCGGGGACATCTTCGTCACGGGCGGCACGCTGCGCTACCTGCTGCTCCGCTTCTCCACGCAGGAGCAGCGCTGGCAGGTGGGCCCCGCGGCGGGCGGCAAGGACCGCACGGCCGAGATGGTGGCGGTCAGCGGCTTCCTCTACCGCTTCGACCTCAACCGCAGCCTGGGCATCGGCGTGTACCGCTGCAGCGCCAGCGCCCGCCTCTGGTACGAGTGCGCCACGTACCTGACGCCCTACCCCGACGCCTTCCAGTGCGCCGTGGTGGACAACCTCATCTACTGCGTGGGGCGCCGGCGCACTCTCCTCTTCCTGGCTGACCACGTCTCACCCAGGTTTGTGCCCAAGGAGCTGCGGAGCTTCCCCTCCCCGCAGGGCACCCTCCTGCCCACCGTCCTGGCCTTGCCCGGCCCCCACGTGCCTCAGACCAGGGTCTAGCCGCCTTCTGCTGGGCAGCCCCTGCCCGCGGCTCCAGGGCCATTTCTGGGAGATCAGGCGGCCAGGAATTGAGCCCCAGAAGGTGAATCCTAGTCCTGCCTCCTTCACTGGCTGGGGCTCTGAGATGCGTCCCTGCTGCCAGTGGGCTGCAGGGGGCAAGCGGGAAAACAGAACTCAGGACTGGAGTTCCAAGGCCAAGGGCAGCCGCTTCTGCAGGGCTGGCTTCAAGTCTGAATTCTGGGGGGCTCCAGGACCCCAGCAAACTTCAGGGACACAACCTTATGACCACTGTGATTCAGGTGCCAGTTTACTGTCATGACCCCTCAAGCTGACCCCACTGGAGATGGGCCCCTTCCTAAACATCGGCCCTAAGCCTCCACGGCCGAGGTTCCCAGAAGCACTTGGGACACAGAGGGAAACAGTCAAGGGAGGTGGTTCAGGCAGGAGCCCGGGGCCGCCCCAGGGGCCCAGCCAGAGGGACAGAAGGTGGGAGAAGTCACATAGCTGAAGCTGGAGGGCGTTCTTTTCCTTTTCTTTTTCTTTTCTTTTCTTTTCTTTTCTTTTCTTTTCTTTTCTTTTTTCTTTTCTCTTTCCTTCCTTCCTTCCTTCTTTCCTTCCTTCCTTCCTTCCTTCCTTCCTTCCTTCCTTCCTTCCTTCCTTCCTTCTTTTCTTTCTTCAGAGTAAATTAACCAAAGCCCACTTCAGTTCTCCTCATTACCTGGAATGCTAGCATGAGAAACCTCCATTTCTAGCAGCCATTTGACAAGGTACATCTTCTCATAGGGGACTGTTAGGGATATCGTCACTCCTGGGGGAGGCAGGAGAAGGTGGTCCAAGGGCCGCTGTCCCCCTGGGGCCCACTGACCCTCTCTCCCTGTCTCAGAGCTCTTCATGGCACAGCTCCCCCAGGACCCCAGCCTCACACCCCAGGGGTGGGGAACATCCTCCGCCGACCAGGCGACCCTTTCGGGCTGGTGAGAGCCAACGGCGTGGTCTGTCATTCCTGCGCTGTGTTGCCCCCTGGTCAGCACCAGACAGGAGAGGACCAGGGAGGGGCGGGCCCAGGGTGGAGCTGGGGGACTAAAGGTGACGCATCAGGAGGCTGGGTTCTCCTTTGCCATCAGGTTTGGGAACTTCTCCAAGGGAGGAGACCTCCAAACCCAGAAATTCCCCATTGCCCTGGAGGGAAGAAAGAGAGATTGGCCCCATCTCTAACCATGGCCCTGCTCCATCCCTAAGGGAGGGGCTCACACACACAGAGGAACAGTCCAGCTCTTGGCCACGGCCAGGAGCCAGGGGGCAGACACTCCTCCTATGTGACAAGCAGCACGGAGGAAAGACGCAGAGATGGGGTGCACCACACCAGGGCGGACAGTCAGAGATAAGAACGCTATGGACTTCGGCATCCCTCTCTTGGAAATGGGAAGGACAACTCATGCCCTTCTTTGTGGGGACACAAATGAGAGCATCCTGAGAAAGTTCTTCCCAAGTTCCTGGGGGTCCAGGCAGGAGCCGGTGCTCCCCGCAGCTGCTTGGGCTGAGCCAGGGTCGGTCTGAAAGATGCAGGATGGGAACGGAGACCGAGAAGGAAATCGGCCAGGACACAGGGCTCTCCGTGGGCCACAGGGGGCCTGGGGCCCGAGAGGTGAAGCTGCTTAGTTTATTCCTAAACTGGAGGTTGAGAGAGGAAAGTAGCTAAGACTGGTGCCTGGGAAGAGTGGCCCCTTCACCAAGGCTATGCTCAAGGTCAGAGTCAACACTCAGGCATGAACCACCCAGGGACCCCGGAGACTGGGGGCTGCCGCAGTGACATGACTAGGAGGTGGCATCGGCACGGTGGCGCCAGGCTGGGGTTTGCTTGGGACGAGAACCCCATGTGGGAGCTGGGGCAAGTGGAGCCAGATCCAGCCCCAGGGTCAGGTTCAGGGGCAGAGGCAGGGGCAGGTGAGGAGTCCGGTGGAGGACAAGCCCACTGCGTACTTACGGTAGGACAAGGGAAATGGTTCCAGGGACCAGGAGGCAAAGCTCCAGACGCAGTGAGGGCAGCTGTGGTCTCCACGACCACAGGGAGAGCTGGCTTTGGGCCCGGGCTGAGCTGGGAAGGCGTGACACGCTGTCTCTGCCTCCCTGTGGTCCCCCGGCAGACGGCACTAACCGATTGTCACCCCTTTTCCTGTTGAGCCTTTCTTTCTAAGGGCCTCAGACGGGTCTCAGCACAGAGCCCCAGCCCTCGTTGCCCATTAGAGCTGGTGCGTGTCTCATCTCTGGTGCTGGGTGAGGGACGAGCGTGGTCGGGGCCGCTGTGGCAGAGCAGGTGGTCCAGGGACCATGACCGCCACCCAGAGCCCTGGAGGTCAGGGCACGCTGACAGAAAGCTGCAGCCGGGCACCCTGCCTGGTGCTGGAGGCGCTGCAGTGCCCTGCGGGGAGCCCTGCCCTGCAGGCGCGGGTTCTAATGGAGGAAAACAGGCAGTTTTGAAGAAATTAGTACAGTACCTAAGTAAATAGGACCCGTGCTGCGTCAGGGCCGTGGAGACAGAGAAGACAACCCAGTGGGAGAGGGTGAGCAGGCCTTCCCGATAAGATGACACCGAGCAGGGACCTGAATGGGACTCTGGGGAACTGCACAGACCAGGGCCGGCTCAGGGCACGGGAAGCCCGGCTGTGCCACCCGAAGGCCCTTGTCACAAGGGCGGCAGAGTGGAGGTCTGCCCCCAGGAGCCCCAGCTCGGGGTGTGAAGGGGGCAGGAGCCCAGCTGTTCTGCCTGTGAGGTCCGGGAGAGAATCCTGTCCCACCGACATCTGTAAAAGAGGGTCCTCGCCTGGGGACACACGACGTTCCCGGGAGAGAAGCAGCGTTTGCACAAGTTGGGGCGAAAGCCAGAGCAACGACCAGGACAACCGCACAGACGCCACACCTGGACGTGTGGGTGCGTGCCAGCCGGCCCACGTGACCCCATGGGTTCCGGGACTAGGACTTCCACTTGACCTTGTTTTTCAGCCTCGTCTGCCTACCTGGAGCCCTCAGCCTCAGAGTGGCCTCTACGACAAATAAAGCTTCCCCCTGGGTCCTCGGGCCTGCTTGCCCCGTAAGAGGTCTTTCTTCTACAGGGAAAAAAAAAATACCCTGTGTCTGGTTTGCTTTCTGCGTGAGACTAACCATGCCGTTACCAAAAAAAGAAAAACTGGAAAATACAGAAAAAGAAAAAAAATCTCCCCAATTAACCCCCGCCGTGGTGTGCGTCCCTCCGGTCTGGGCTTGACTTTCGCCTGGGTGTGATTGTGCTGAGTATACAACTCAGTCTCTTCCTTTTTTCCACTTAGCTTTTGGAAATAAGCATTTCCCCGTGTTATTACAAGCCCTCGGTAAACAACATTTCAATAGTTGCACAATATTCCATCCAGCGGCTGTGCCATGGTTTATTTAACATTCCCCCCTCCTGGTGGGTCTGTAGATTTGTTTTTTTCTGTCACAAATAAAACGTCCCTTGTTTTCTTATTCCTCTCTGTCTGGGGCCTCTGTCAATATTTACAAGAGAAACCCAGCCTAGGTCTGGTCTGGAATAAGCAGAGTTGTCCAAACAACCCTAGAAGCCACAGCCTTTGCCAGGGGCTAGGCCCGGGCCCCACTCTGATAGGGCACAGGGCTGCCCTTGCAAGCGCCCAGCCTGGACGGCCAGGCTCTCTGGAGGGGCCGCCCCAGGCTTCCCGCCCCGCGGTGCTCCTGGAGCCGGGATGTAAGACAGAGCCCGGGTCTTGCGCAGCCACTGCACGAGAGGCTTTCTACATGTCATCGCGCCGACCCTCCCTACACCCCATGTTACAGGTGGCAAAACTGAGGCTCAGAGAGGACAGGAGACCTAGCCTTCACAGCAAAGTTCAGGGACCCTCCGTTTCCTTAAAAGTGTATTGGAGCCACGCCCACTCTCAACGTGGTAGTCTTTCCATACCCCTCTCGGGGGCACGGGGGCCAGGAAGTTGGCGTCAGCCGTCCCGTGGATGCCCCCAGTGCCTTCTCCACCCACGTCAATCAAGTGTAGTCTATCATTGAACTTGGAACTCAAATCAACTTTTCTGCAACTCTCCTATCCTCATGATCTGCATCTGTAAAATGGGTCTGCCACTGCCAGCCCATCGTGGGTGTCATAAGAACTAAGGGAATATGGGTAAATCACGCAGCCCAAGTTCTGCGCCCAAGTCGGTCTCGGTGTCTTCTGCCAGTGGGAGGTGGGACTGCCCGGGCCAGCTTGCTGGTATCTGAGGTTTAAGCTGCAGGGGCCCATCTGGCTTGACAAGGTCTGGGGTGCGCTCAGGTTACTGATGTTGTAGATCATCCAGGGTTTGAGGCTCTGAGCCTCCAAGCCCCTCAGCTGGGGTGAGAATGGACTGGCTGCTGATGTGAGCCTCAGGCTCAAGGCAGGAAGCGCTTGCCCAGGCCGTCCACAGCGCGGGGGGTTGGGGGGGGTGTCCACGCCGCTTAGAACCGCACCGCAGGAAGCTCAAACAGGTGCAGGGCCTCCTTCCTTTTACAGACTGGGAGGGGGAGCCACTCAGGGCGGCCGGAAGGTGGGGTTAGATGGTTAGAGCTACGGCAGGTGCCCAGCACTGCCGTCCTTGGTCACCCTTCCCTGGGAGGACCTGGTGGCCCCAGGGTGGCCCGGGAGTCCCCTGAGGCTGCAGCTGGGAGGAGCCCCCCGGGAAGCCGGGAGGCTATGGCAGAGGGAGGGGGGTGACACACAAAGGGAGGAGGTGCGTTCAGGGAGAGGAGACTTTGGGGGATGCGGAGGTTTCACCAGGAGCCGGAGGAAAGGCCAGCCGGCCTGCAGGAGCGTTTCTGCAAACAGCTCCCAGCCTCCGTTTTTTGAAAAGTGGGACGTGGGACAAAATCAAACAAAAAATGAAAAAGGGTGGCGTCTGGGTTGCCTTCCTGTCTGCGGGGAGGAAGGGGAGACTCGGGTCCTGTGCCCGGAATAAGAACCCCGGCGGCGCCTGCACCGGGCTCCGGGCAGGTCGAATCCTCCCGGAGACACGCTGTCCGGAAGCGGTCACTCTCACCGCAGAGGGGAGGGAACGAAGACATTCCACAAAAAATAAAAATTGCTATTTCATACCTATTGTTCCAGCGACTTTTCTATTTATTTACTTTTTTAAAAAATTTTATTTATTTATTTATTTTTAGAGAAAGAAGGGGGAGAGAGAGAGAGAGAGAGAGAGAGACAGAGAGAAACATCAATGTGCGGTTGCTGGGGGCCATGGCCTGCAACCCAGGCATGTGCCCTGACTGGGAATCGAACCTGCGATTCCTGGTTCACAGCCCGAACTCAATCCACTGAGCTACGCCAGCCAGGGTGAGACCATTTTATTATTAAAGAACTAGAAGGGACACATGTCATCTCTGTCATACCTTTGTTGAGCCGTCCCGATGTTAACGAGAGCTCTACTCGTATGACGACATTTTACCCTCCAAACGACCACAGCACGTGGCACAACTAGCCCAACTCCCCCCTTCCCCTCAGCTTCTCCACCCCTTGAATGCGGCTGTGGGACCTGCTTTAAAAAGCTGGGGCGTGGGGTGGACTCTCTTGTGGCTGTTAGAGACCTCGAGACAGTCACCATGCGCACAAGACGGGCTGGCCTGCGGGGTGATGAGTGACACGTGGCCCAGGTGCCCATGACGCTCCCCAGCGCGCGTCCCCACCCAGAGTCTCCCAGCCATCACCATCGTCCCATTTTGCAGATGAAGCAGTGAAGGCTCAGAGCGCTCTCACAGCCGTGACGTGAGTACGCATCCTTCAAGGCCTTGAAAATGTGGCCTCAGCTCCCCCCCACTGACACCCCCACTCCTGACCGGGCGCCCCACACTGCACACGAGACTCCTTCACCTGTCACTCCGCAGCCTCTGCTTATAGGTCTGCTGTCCCCGGTGAGTTCCCTGTGAACACCAAGGGTGTCTTGTCTGCCTCTGTCCTGGGAGCCAGCACAGAGAGGCCACAGGGTGTGGCTCAGAGGAAGCCACAGCCACGCTGTGTCCTTGTTTGGAATGTGCCATCGGGCACCGTGACCGGGTGTTGGCACTACCCAGTGGGCCTGCCTTCCTGTGTCCAAGCGAGGCGGTTCCCTGCCTTCTGCTCTTTCCTCAAACAGCCCCTCTTCCCTCTGGCACACGATAACGGGGCGCAGAGCCCCCCAGTTCTTACAGTGCCGAGCGCAACTGCTCTGATGAAACTGTCGGCACTCTCTTGCACTAACCAAGAGCCCTACCCACTGCCCACGCAAGGACCAGGCTGGCTCAGCCCGGGAGGAGCCCCCCAAGGAGCCCGACTGGCAGGGGTTGGTGGACAGACACCCAGGCTCCCTCCGCCCTCAGTGGACCACTCAGGCTCCCTGGGTAACCTCCCTTTAACCAAGCTCCTGTGTGCTCTCCTGGTCAGTCCTCCCCCTGCACCTCCGTCCTTCGTGAGACAGGCGAGGAGTCGCTCCTCCTTGTCCCGTAAGCCCACGCCCTCTTAGGCTCCTTAGGGCTTCACCCTAGGGACGCTCCTGGCCCAGCACCAGCCAAGCCCCCTGTCTCCTGGGCAGTTAAAAGCAGATTCGAACAGGCTCTGGACTCTCCCCATCATGAAAGAAGAGCTTTCTCACGATCGCTGATAAAGAAGAGCCGCGAATGCACTTCAGCAGGTTTGAAATATTATCCAAATATGATGCAGCTCTCTTTGTTACGAGTGTCCCAGCGACGGGGTGCCCTTGTGCTCTCGAAAAGAGTTCGTCTGAGCCTCTGAAGCTCTGTGGCTGTTCCCCCTGCGAGCACGTTTAGGCTATCCAGTTCGGCCATCTTTACTTTGTAGAAACTATGAGGGTTAGCTTAACGTGGCCTCAATTTGAATCGTAACACATCTTGAGTAGACTCTTAAAAAAAAATAAAAGCCTCTTGTTACAGAAGGCTTCCCATCTGATCTGGAGGAGCCACAATGTTGGGTTGTACCGAGGAGCATTGAAACCCACGCCTGGCATCTCTCGGCCACTCGGTCTCATTCCCAAACCTGGTCTCTCCCCGCCCCACCCCCACGCCGGACCACACAGCAGGGGTGGAGGGGGGTGGGGGGAGGGGGATGGCAAATTTGGAAAATACCAGCCTCGGGAAAACCCTGGGAAGTGATGTTTTTCACACAAGTTGCCTTGTCTCTCTGAAACGTATTTTTATCATGGCAAATATACCTCACAATGTTCACCATTGTAACCACTTTAAAGTGTGCCATTCAGTGGCCTTGAGAACGTTCACCAGGCTGCGCGTCTGTTTCATCTGATTACAAAAGATACACAAACACGTATTGTCAAACGCAGAATTGGAAAAGTACAGGGAAGTCCAAAGAAGACAGTAGAAATCACCCCTACTCAGGAATAATCGGTTATTATTTTGACTTCTTTATTTCCAGTCTCTTGTTTCCAGTCTCTTATTTGTTATCCATAATTTTTAAAATAATAAGTGGGGCCCCGGCCAGTGTGGCTCAGTTCGCTGGGCATCATCCCGCAGAGAGAAAGTTCTCTGGTTTGGTCCCCGGTCGGGACCCGTGCCTGGGGTGCGGGTTCAGTCCCCAGCTGACTGATGCTTCTCTGCCTCTCTTTCTCCCTCCTCTAAAAAATAAATACATAAATTTTAAAAGTAAAAATTGGGGTCTTACGGTGAACTTGCAGTATAACTGACCTTTCCTTCTATCAAGAAGACTATGACAGTTTTGAGTTTGAAAAAAAATACACCACCGGGTTTCTTTTTATTGTGGTAAAATGCACACAAGGGAAGATGTACCATTTTCACTAATTTAAAGTGTGCAGCTCAGAGGGTAGTAAGTGCATTCGTATTGTGTCCCTCCCGCCCCCCCGCCACCTCCGTCTCCCCAGCGAGCTCACCACCATCCCAAGGAGAAGCCGGTGCCCACTGAACAGGAGCCAGCTCCCTCTGCCATCCCCCACCAGCCCCTGGTGAGCAGAAGTTTTCTCTAACTCTGGAAGGCACCCTTCACAAGTATAAAGAAGTTCTCTGTGCCTTCAGCACAGATCATTGGGAATGTGCCTTAAGCACAAAGACACGGTGGTTTTCATTCATTTTGGAAAGTTCCGCAAACAATGCAGTACCCAGCTCCGCGGGATGCTTTGGGGCAAAACAATCAATAGCTCCTTTCTCAAAGACCCTCCCGGCCCCTCCTCCCCACCACACCAGGGGGAAAGACAAAGGGAAAAACACTCTCTCTGTTCTCCACAACCTCCTCCATCATCACTCCGAACTAATTACTTCTGGAGCTTTAACCACAATACAGTTTGGAAAAGGCAGAGGCGCGAAACCTGTTAATGACTGTGTTGTGTGGCGGGCCCTAATTACTCAGCGATGAGCACGTGAGCAGTGTGGGAGTGAGTCACTGTGATTACACAGCAATAACCTCTGCGGAGGTGTGCCCACACCCAGGACAGCAGCGGCTGAGGTTAAGGAGCCTCGGGGTGCAGTGC